GCCTCCCTTGCAAGGGTTAGGTAGGGCCTCAACATTGAGTCCTGGCAAATGGGAATATGGGTGTTAAGTGATGTGTGACTCCCAGCCCACTTAAAGGCTGGTGTGGCTCTTCTCGTCCTACTTAGAGGAATGGTAGAAACATAAGATAGAAACAGCCAAGATTCCTAAGTCACCCCAGGGAGAAGGCCTGAACTACTGAGCTTTTCAAAACACACTGGGTTTTACCAGAACCACCACAAACCTTTACTGTGCTAAGCCTTTGAGATTCAATTAATGTACTAATTCAGCATGGCCTAACTATACTGATAAATACATTGGTATAAAGACTGGATTAAAAAAAGAAGAAAGAAATTACCCCAGGACATTTTTATGGCTAAGAATGGAAATAAGTATGGTTAACTTGATAGAGCTTGATATTCCCTACATTGTAGGGTTATTGTATTATAGAGATGATAATATATAAAATGCCTAGGATGGCACCTGAGTTATGTTAGTTCCTCCATAAATGGTGGCTTTTATTGTTAGTTCTTAAGATACCCTATCCCATAAGTATTTAATGGGACATGATAAAACTTGACTACACTCATGGATGATAGGCTCCATATTCTGATTCTTTCTCAGATTGCTTCCCTTTAAGGTGTCTCTCCTAACTAGTTTGGGTGTGGGGCTCAAGCATCTTTTATAAAATTACTGCAAATCATAACTTTCAAGAAATAAACTGTATACTGTCTTTAATCCAATAAAAATTGAGTCAAACCCTGTTATTTCTTCCACGTGTTAACTAACAAAAGAGCTTAACAAGCAAAATAATATCGCTAGGTGCTAATTCTTGCAGTCCAGACAATGAAAGAATATGACATATAAAATAATGCTACATGAGGGACTTCCTTAGTGGTCCAGTGGCTAAGGCTCCATACTCCCAATGCAGGGGGCCCTGGGTTTTAGCCCTGGTCAGGGGATTAGATCCTGCATGCTGCAACTAAAGATTCCACATGCTGCAACTAAGACCCAGCACAGCCTAAATAATTTTTTTTTTTTAAATAAAGTAACGCTGCCAGAGACAGACAGTACATTCTGGGTTGGTGGGGGAGGATAGCTCTATGCAGGCTCAAGTCTTCAGTGAAAACGTGCAAAAATTAGCGCTCAGATCTTGTCTTAAAGCACAGGTAGGATGTAGATACGTGAAGGAAAGGAAGAAAAACATTCCAAGTGGGCAACAGAATGATCAAGGTACTGATCAAACTCATAAAGGTTAAATATCAAACTCATATAAAATTATTGGGGTTTTTTGGTAGGTAAAAAACAGTCAAATATTGACAATTTCATATTGTTCAACATAATAAAAGTGACATTCGTGGAGTGGTACTGGAAGTTTCAACTGTATTGGTAATGTTTCTGTCTTTTGTACTGAGTGGTAGTAGATACATAAGTTCTTGACATGACTTCTTATTTCTTAAATATTTCACAATTATTAAAATAATTAAAAGAAAAGCAAAAAAGAAAGTTAAGCCTCATCAGATAATTTAAATAACTCCTTTAGGTACCACTTATTCTCTGGATGAAAATAACATTCCTCAGCAATCTCACATTTTTCTCAGCATTCTCACACCTTCACCCTCTTTCCCAGCATCTCTCCAAGTGTATCAGCAGGGCTTATCAACCATATGACCAAGGAGAGAACCCAGAGACCCCTCAGGTGTAGTGTCCTTTGACTGCTCTGGCCTTTGGGGCCATGTCCCCTCTCCACCCGGCCACTCCTTGCCCTCTTGGTGTCTGCAGCTGAAATCTGCGGTTGGAGACCATATGGCTACGGTCTGTGAGGTGGCCTCCCTCAGGGTGCTCAGGCCCCGTGGCCCTCCCCCCACCTCCTCTGAGCTCTGTGACTATGGGTCTATGAGGCCCATGGCGCCCTGGCCCAGGGAAGCGGAAGGCGGTGGTTCCCTCTGCAGTGTTCACTCCAGGGTCACCTTGTCCCGGAAGTTCACCCCTCCAGCCACCAGCCAGCCAGTCAATCACTGTGGCTCTCACTGTGGCTTTCCCAAGAAAGCTAGGTCTCCAGGCCTCCTGCCTGACCACACTTCTGCAGGGTGTGACAGAGGGGAACAGAGCATCCTGGGCCTCCTTACAAGGGCCCAAGTAGGACTAGTCTCTGCCATTCCCTCCCATTCTATGATGCACCCCTGTCATCTCTACACAGAAGCCTGGAGGGGAGAAATTGGGACACACATCTGACAGTTTCCCCTTGCGCCTATTTCTTGTTCCCCTACTTCCCATCATTCCCCCAGGACCAAAAACACAGGCCTGCCTGCCTGCCTTGGCTTCACATCCCGCTGCCACTGAGCAGCAGGCATCGGGCCTGGCAGCCACACCGTCTGGGAGAACTTCCTGAATTAAGTTCCCCAAGCGGGGCTCTTTAGGGAGACACAGGAATTCTTTTTTTAAGGGAATTTAGGAAATCCTCTTTCAAGCCACTAACCTGGCTTAGAAAGTTCTTGTCTTGCTATAAAATCCCATGTTGAATGTCAGAAGCCAAATATCTCAGTTATTTACCCCTCATTCCTTCTGTAACAAATCCTTATCTCCCCTAGGCAGATGAATATCAAGGGCCAACTGAGGATCAAGTCATTTTCTCAGAAAGGGAAAAAGGAAAGCATGTTATTCTTCAAAAGATTACTTTTCTAATTGCACAAAAATTCTCCCCATCCCCTGTTGCTCTCCCTCAAAGAGCTCCAACTCCCATGACCCCTACAGGTCAAACACCAAGATTTACTGGCAGGATTGGTACTCAAAATGTTGAACAACTAGCTGAATAGCAGCCCTGATCCATGACAAACATGTACAGGAAATAAAACCAGTTAAGTAAGTTCACCGTGTTTGCTTTTCTTCTCTCCCAAAACACATCTGTGTACAGCTTTGTAAACAATTTACCCAGGGGCTCCCCTTCCTCCATCCACGTTTGCAATGACCCCCTCTTGCCTGGTAAATAAAATCTGTGGTGCACTTCAGATGCCAGTTAACAAGGCATGACTTCAAGGAACATAATCAATCTGATTGGTATCACAACTGCCTTTTAGGCAAGAGGTCTTTGGAGGAAAACACTCAGATTCAGTATTCAGTCAGTGAAAAAAAAAATGAAAGGAGAGACCAGGTAAAGAGTCCTGCCACTCACAAACCAGCACATTACTTACCCGCATCTAAGCTCAGTTTCTTCAATTACGAGATAGTGTTATTAGAATTCATGGACCCAATGCACGTAATTTGCTTAGCACAGGAAAGTGTTGAGAAATATGTGTTAATAATAATCATTATTATTATTTGTTATCACTGGGCCAGTGGCCCACTATTGATGATGAAAGTGTTCCCCTGCCATCAGCACCTTCACCCACATATACATGTGAGCCTTTTGATCCAAATGTTGAACGAATGAAAATGGCAGGAATGAAGTGAGTGTGTGTAATGGGGGTAAAAACAGAAATTTCAGTCAGAGACCAGAGCCCTGATTAGCACAAAAGCAAGCTTCCCCCACTGAGAAGGGACAAAGTCAAATTCAAGTGCTTCAGGCTCTCATATGACTTACATAGGGCAATAAAAATATTTTAATAAACATTTAGGGAAAAGAGAAAAATGTTTACTTTAAAGTAAACATATATTAAAAAATAGATCCACAGGAATAGTTGACCGCATGATATTCTAGTAACCCAGGCTTTCAGGTCTGCACTTCCGACAGTGCTTCCAGACGTGGAATGTGTCCATGGCCCCGGGGTCACAGGGTAATAGAAGAGCCACAGAGAAAAGAGGAACTTGGCAGAATTCCCTTCATATTTTAAGCTAAAGCTTTCTTTACTGAAATAATAGCTTTCAAGACACAAATTATTCACAAGCCATTAATAGTATATATTGAGATGGGAAGAATGAAGCAAGAAGAATAACTCAATCTGGCCTATTATTTAAATGGGGGCTTCCCTGGTGGCTCAGAAACTAAGGAATCTGCCTGCAATGCAGGAGACCCAGGTTCCATCCCTGGAAGATTCCCTGGAGAGGGGAATGGCCACCCACTCCAATATTCTTGCCTAGAGAATCCCAGGGACAGAAGAGCCTGGCAGGCTACCGTCCACGGGGTCTCAAAGAGTTGGATAGGCCTAAGCGACTAACACACACACACACACACACACTCTAAATGAAACACTGCCGAAGTATAGAGGAATGAAGTAGATGACTTTTCAAACCTTTCTAGGTCTCTTAAAATAATTCCATTGTCTATCGCAGTGGTTTTTCAGACATTTTTTTGACCACAACACACAGTAAAAAATATATTCTACTTCTTGACCCCGTACATGCACACATGATACTGGTTTCATGAAAGAATACTGACTCGTAGTATGTAATATTTTTCTATCCTTTTATTCCGGCTCCTTCCTTTCTTTCCCTTTCTTTCTCCTTCCCTTCCTAAAACTCCTTGCCAAACTGATTTTTGCCACTTAAAATCTGAAAAAAATATAGGCCTAGTGGGTTTTCACTATATATTTCTGCAGGTGAGTTTACCCATCCAGAATATGGATAGAATTCAGCCAACTTCCCAGGACAGCAGTTTCTAGGTTTGACTTTTGTCTGTAGGATTTAAGAAGTCATTCCCAGGGGATCTTGTTTTCTCTATAGCTGAAGGTAAGGATTTATGAGCCTGGGGGAAGAAGGGGTTCAGATGAGAATCAACAGAAAGAACTGCAAGGTCTGAAGACAAGAACCATTTATCTGGTGCAATATATATTATGTTAATTTAAGAAAAATTCTATCTTAAATATTCAGCATCATCAAGCACCTTTTTCAGTTAACCCAGCAAACAAAGCTCTGGCTTGGAGGCCCAATCATTTATTTTCCCCAAAAAGAGACCTGTTTTTTAAAAAGCCAGGTCCCATCCCCCGCCCCCAGAACCCCGACCCCTCCCAGGCCTCGGATAACTTTTCCCTCCAGTTTGGTGGAAGGTTACATTAGAAGAAAATAGTCCCTACCGTCTAGAAACTTTTCAGGGGAAAAGAGGGCGTTTGACGTGTGGGTGGGTGTGCGGACAGCGCCGGCAGGAGCAGCAGGAGCGGCGAACGCCCGGGGCTGGGCTGCAGACGGGTGCGGAGGCGCCAGCGGCGGGGGCGGGACGGGGCGGGGGTACGCGAGGCGGAGCGCAGGGGAGAAGACAGCCCTGAAGTCTCTCCCAAAGGGCAGTGGCTGCCGGCTCTCCTCGGTTGAGCAGCCGCTGCCCGCGAGGGGGCGCTGGCGGCCGGGGAGTTGAAGATGGGGCCTTGGGCTCCCGAACCCCGTGAGTGGCTTGGGTTGTCAAGACTCGTCTTTTTTTGGCTCATTTCTTTTTGTCGTGATGCTCTTTTGGCCTTCGACTCCGTGAAGGGAGCCATATTAAGAGTGCAGAAGAGGTGGCCTGAAGGGAAAATTAAAAGGCGAGTTTTAAACATAGAGTCTTTCTTTTCTCTCTCTCAAATTAATTTAGATGTAAATTACATTTGGCAAGATCAGGCTCCAAGGCTCTCATTTGCCCTCACCAGATACTTAGAATAAGATTTCGGTGTGACAGTAATTTTGCCAATGGAGGTCGACTCCCCAAAACATCACCCTGGTAAGTAATGAACATTTCCGTGGGTTATGACTTTGAGGTTTTATTTTACTTCATTCTAATAAATGGCCCTTCTAAAAAAGTGGTAAGATCATAACTCAGCCCAAGTTTAATTAAGATTATTTTTGAAAAATCTCGATGGGTAGGTAATTTACCTAGTTTCTCATTCAGATTTAGGAAATTTTGCTTTATTGCTGCATGCATTTCTAATTATCTTTTGCCATGCAGTTCTTAATGTGGATGGAACACAGCCTCTCTCTTTCCTGGTTGGTATGTCAACAAACATTTGAGTGTTTAGTTTAGAATACTGTTGGGTATTATGGATTAAATAATCTGACATACTTGTAAATTTCATCAGAAACAGCATTTATGTATACATATAGTCTATATCGGGCTTCCCAGGTGGCACAGTGGTAAAGAATCCGCCTCCCAGTCCAGGAGATGCAAGAGATGCAGGTTTGATACCTGGGTTGGGAAGATCCACTGGAGTAGGAAATGGCAACCCACTCCAGTATTCTTGCCTGGAAAATTACATGCACAAAGGAGCCTGGAAGACTACAGTCCATGAGGTCAAGAAGAGTCAGTTGCAACTGAGTACACACACACACACTCACACACACATACACACTCACATATCTATACCACCCTATACACCAGAACACACACACACACACACACACACACACACACACGTCTATACCACCTAAACACCAGAAATCTTTGTGAAATGTAAACTCCTCAAATTAGAGACCCTGTTTTATTTTGCAGTGAAATGGAGTTAATCTCTTTGCAGTGTTGTGTATTTTAAGATACCTAGGCTATAATAGAGACTCATTAAATGATAACTATTTATTATTTATCTAGATATTCTCCAAAGTGCTTTGCTCATGGCAAACAGTAAATACTGGTTGAATGAATGAACATGGCATGTTCCTTACTCTGTGCGTAGGGAAAATATCAGGATGGGGATCCTGTAACGCGAAGACGTCATCAATGAAGCTTAGCGTGGAGGTGTCTGCCCTAAAGCCCTTTCACCAGATGCAGGCTCTCTTGACCTTGGAATGTGGATTACTTAAAATGTTAGGGGGAAAAAATGTGTATATATATACTGACAAGGCTCTTGTCAGTATAGAGCTTGAGAAGTTTACTTAAATGTGGAAAAGCTAAGCTCACTTGACACAAATCGGGGGGGGGGGGAAGGTTTCTACACGTTATTCAAGTTATTCATGTCAAAAGCGATTAGTGGGCCCCAGCTTCCATTACATCATTCACTGGGAGAGTGTAGGCTGGGAGCTTTGCAAGTCACATGATTCCATGGAGGAATTAAGGCTGAATTTTCTTTTGTGTTTCTGCCCTTAGCTATATTCAGTAGTAAGCATGTTTGGAAAAGGTTAAAACAGAACATGGAGCTCTAGTTTATTTTAATGCTGTCAGACTGCTAAGCAGTGGAAACTTGCTGAAGAGATTTACCAAGCTGTTTCCTTAAAGACTTTAGTGAATTAATTAAAAGGGTTCTGAGAGATACAACATGCCAGACCCCTACTGGCTCGTAAAATCGTTCTTTCTGATTGATGTGACTTGACAGCGAAGCACAGCGCATGTAAAGCTGCAGGGGAATAAAACAAGAGCAGTGCTGATGTGCTCGAAAGACATGTAAGTGTTCCACTTGAATTGGCTGTGACCGCAGAGTCAGCTGGACACTGTGCTCATTTCCTTTGGCTCCAGTACCCGAGCTCCAGAGAAGCACAGATTTGGCAAGGTGCTGAACTACTGAGTGAAAATGAAGTCACAGCTTCAGAAGAGATTCACAGATTGCGATGTGTAGGTATTCTGTGTCACGTTTTAGTCATTGCTTTTAGAATGCCTGCTCTAAGATGGTCCTCAATTATGGGACCATGCCTGTGCCACATGGTTTCCAGAGAGACTGAGCCAAAAGTGAACTATGTTCTTTAGTAGATGAATATCTAAGACAAGTAGATGGATTGCAAAAGTATTCTAAAATTTTTAGCCAAACTCTGGGCAATGTTGGGTCTAACTGGCTTACAAAACACATTCTTTTTCAGCCAACAGTGAAGCCAGCATTGTTAACAATATGAACCAACACTGAAAGCCTTCATCATTAATACATACCTGCAGTCAGATTTTGAATGTGACCTGGCCAAATATATTTACTCATTCAATGCTTATTTAAATAAGTGGTAGGCCTTGGAGAAACCTCAGTTCTTATATTCTCTCATAGTGCTGTTCAGTAGGAACAGAATGTGAGCCACACATGTAATTTAAAATTTTCTGGTAGCCACATAAAGATATTTAAAAGAAACCAATAACATTAATTTTAATAATGTATTTTATGCCCACCAAAATATGTATATGTATCATTTTAATATGTAGCAATATAGAAATTATTAATATTTGTATTCTTTATTTTGAATTGTTCTAATTCAGTGTGTATTTTACACTTAGAGCACATCTCACATTGCCCTGCTCAGATTCCACACATGACTAGTGATGTTGGGCAGCCCAGGTCTAAAGGGAAACACATGAGTAAAAAGGTAATTTCAGTAAGACGTAATAAAGGCAACGATGAGATAAGTGTAAGGTACAGTGAGAACATATAGAAAGGGCTTAGTTCCTTTAGTCTTCCACCTAAAATTTCCATACTTCTCTCTGCTCCTCTGTATTCTTCCTGCCACCACTCTAATCCAAGCTAGCATCATCTCTCTCCTTGATTTCCACAGCAGCCTCCAAAATTGTCTGCCTGCATTCACCCATGGCCCTCTCTGCAGCTACAGCGGTCTTTAAAAAATGACCGTGTGGGACTTCCCTGGTGGTCCAGTGGCTAAGAATCTGACTGCCAATGCAGGAGACACGGGTTCGATCCCTGGTCCGGGAAGATACCACCTGCTGCAGAGCAACTGAGCCCGTGCACTGCAACTGTTGAAGCCTGCTCGCCTCGAGCCCGTGTTCTGCAGTGAAGAGTAGCTCCTGCTCACGACTGGAGAAAGCCTATGCACAGCGGGAAAGACCAGCATAGCCAAAAATAAATAAGTCAATGCTTTTAAAAAATGTCCATCTGATATTATCACTCCCCTGCTTCAAACCTTAACTCTATGATGAATGCACATTGAACAAATGTGAAATAATGGACATAAAACACCTGGCACAAGGCTTCTGCTCACTGTTTGGTTCTCCCCACATCTCCCTTTCGCTATCTTGTTCCTGTCTTTTCCCTCTCTGGCTCTGGAAAAACCATCTGCCTCTCGCTTCCTTCTTCCTCTTATCACTTCTTAGTCTCTTATCACCTCAATTTTCTTTTTTCTTTCTTGCTTGCCTCTTTCCTTTTCTCTCTCTCTCTCTCTCTCATGTTTTAGTTTATTACAGTATAGAATTTAAACAGGCTTAAATTTTAGTGCTGTAGCAAGTTCCCTGGTGACCTAGTGGTTAGGATTCTGGTCACGATTCTGGACTTTCACTACCGTGGCCTGGGATCAGTCCCTGGTCAGAGAACTGAGATCCCATCCCACAAGCCTCACAGCACAGCTGACAAAAACAAACAAAAAAATGTGTGCTGTAGTTATGTACTTCAAGTTCTTCATTTTATTTGTTTATTTGCCACTCGGCATGTGAGATCTTGGGCTTCCTGGGTGGCACTAGTAGTAAAGAACCCGCCTGCCAGTGCAGGAGACCTAAGAGACACAGGTTCAATCCCTGGGTTGGGAAGATCCCTTGGAGGAGGGCATGGCAACCCACTCCTATATTCTTGCCTGGAGAATCCCATGGACAGAGGAGCCTGGCAGGGTACAGTCCATAGAGTCGCAAAAAGCTGGACACGACTGAAGTGACTTAGCACAAACGCACTCATGTGAACTCTTAGTTCCCTGACCAGGGAATGAACCTGTGCCCCTGCACTGGAAGCAAAGTTTTAACCACTAGACTGTCAAGGAAGTCCCAAGTTCTCCATTTTAAAAATTAGAAGAGATTGACCTTGTATCAGGATAAAATTAATATGCTTTTTATTTCAGCATGGCCTCCAGTTAACTCTTCTTATAGAGAACTTCTATAGAAGCAAACGTATTCTCTCCTGGGAGGAAAGCAATCCCCTTTCATGTTTTGTAGAGGAAAATAATGATGCAGCTATATATTCAGTATCCTCCTCTAGTGATCTGAAACAAGTCAGAAGGAGAACCCACTTACCTGCCCGTAGCTGTGCCTTTCTTAGGTAGATTGCTGCTGCCTTCTGGCAGTAGGGCAGTGAGGCAAGTTAATTATTCAGTGTCAGTGGAGGTAAATAAATAAATGAATTACCTAATTAAATAAACCTTCGGGGTGCTAAAAGCTGGCAGTTTCCTTAACCACACACTTTTTTTTGAGGACCAGTTTTCTTGTCTGAAGGAACAGCCAACCCAGGCATATGGGCGCTTCCCTTTTACCTCTGAGAAAGGGGATTTATGACCGTCTGCGTACTCATCTCTCTGTTTCTGTCTCTGACATAGACCACACTGCCAGTTGCCAGCGCTCTTTCTACCTCCGCTGAGAACATGGAGAGATTCTGCAACTACAGAAGGAGGAAAGAAAGTTATAATTCAAGAAGGACTTCCTGGGCTTCCCTGGTGGTCCAGTGGTTAAGAATTCGCCTAGCAGTGCAGGGGACAAGGGCTCGATCGCTGGTCCGGGAGGACCTCACATGCCGCAACCACTGAGCCCGCACGCCCTAGAGCCTGCACTCCACAACAAGAGAAGCCACAGCAATGAGAAGTGCACACACCACAACTAGAGAGTAGTCCTCGCTTGCCACAACTAGTGAAGCCCACGTGGAGCAACAAAAACTCAGAGCAGGCATAAATAAATAGATATTAAAATTTAAAAAAAGGACTTCCTGCTGTCAAGGCATAACAAACACCAACACAAAACAAGTGAGGGAGAATCTTAGCCGAGAAAAGATGTTTCTGTTATAGAAAATGCCCCACCTCACCGCCCCCCATCCCAAGCCTAGCTTGAGGGAGGCCCTGCTCCAGGAAAGGCTTGGGCGTGTAGAGTCAGAATCAGCAGGCTTTTGTTGAATAGACAGATACTGCATACAAGGCAGCTCCATGTACTTCTTTCTACTACACCCTTTTAATATTTGAACTTAAGAGAAACCTCCAACTTTTTCCCAAATGGAATTTTATTTTGAAATGAGATCCTGCAGCGTGAGGACCAACTACAGAAATACTTTAGTGTTAAGAGACCTGCACAGCCTGAAACATTTTTCCTAACTTGGACCACTGTTCCATGTGCAACCAGAGGCTGTACCACAGCCTACACTAACAGCTTGTTCTTAACCTCCCACTCCAAAGATTTACTGAGAATTTCTTTCGAGCAGAACTACTCTCGTAAAAGAAATAGTAGCAGCATGTTGTGTTAGTTAGGATAATTGCTATAATAGAAAGATCCAAGTAAAGAACATAGCTCACATACGGTAGTTTATTTCTTGCTTCTAGGGTTGTATAACTTTTGAACTGTGGTGTTGCAGAGAACTCTTGAGTCCCTTGGACTGCAAGGAGATCACATCAGTCAATCCTTAAGGAAATCAGTCCTGAATATTCATTAGAAGGACTGATGCTGAAGCTGAAACTCCAATACTTGGGCCACCTGATGCGAAGAACTGGCTCATTGGAAAAGACCCTAATGCTGGGAGAGATTGAAGGCAGGAGAAGGGGATAACAGAGGATGAGATGGTTGGCTGGCATCACCGACTTGATGGACATGAGTTTGAGCAAGCTCTGGGAGTTGGTGATGGACAGGGAAGCCTGGCGTGCTGCAGCCCATGGGGTCTCAGTCAGACACGACTGAGCAACTGAACTGAGGGTTGCAGAGCAGCACTTCTCCCTGTAGCCATTTAGGAACCCAGGCTAATGAAAGCCTGCATAAGGCATGGAGGAAACACCTAGGAGGTTTGTATGAATCTAGAAGTAGGGCTGTTGTCATTTTTTTGCTAAGTCATGTCCGACTTGGCGACCCCATGGACTATAGCCCACCAGGCTCTTCTTGTCCACAGGATTTCCCAGGCAAGAATACTGGAGTGGGTTGCCAAAGAAAATTTTCATATAGAGAGAGGATTGAGTCCCCAGGATGAGGGTGAACGATGTGGAACGTATCCATCCTACTTTCATCAACTAGAGACCACTGACGGCATTAGTTACCATCCAGAAGGATTTGATGCTGAAGCTGAAACTCCAATACTTTGGCCACTTCATGTGAAGAGTTGACTCATTGGAAAAGACCCTGATGCTGGGAGGGATTGAGGGCAGGAGGAGAAGGGGATGACAGAGGATGAGATGGTTGGATGGCATCACCGACTTGATGGACATGAGTTTGGGTAAACTCCGGGAGTTGGTGATGGACAGGGAGGCCTGGCGTGCTGCGATTCATGGGATCGCAGAGTCAGACACAACTGAGTGACTGAACTGAACTGAACTGAACTGAGAAGGATTTGACTGCTAAGGCCTGAAGGAACAATGTTGTGTTTATTGACTGTGTTCATCTCTCACACTCAAACTTTTCTTTCCATTCTCCCAACTGTGTCTTAATTCATCACTTCCTTTAAAAAAATATATGTATTTGGGGGCACTTGGTCCCAGCCCCCGGTCACAGGATCTCTGATCTTTGTTGCAGCATTTGGGATCTTCAGCTGCAGCGCACTCAATCTTTTAGTTATGGCATGCAAACTCTTAGTTGCGACACGTGGAATCTAGTTCCTTGACCAGGAATCGAACCCAGGCTCCCTGCATTAAGAACTTGGAGTCTTAGCCACTGGACCACCAGAGAAGTCCCCAGTTCATCATTTCTTAAACTATGTAAGTAGCCCCCTAACAGAGGCCCCTACCTCTGTGCTCACCCACCCCCAACCCCATCTAACATGTGCCTCTCGCCATTATACTTCAATAGTTCCTTGTCACTCACAGGCTTGAGTCAACTTTGCTGATAAAAATCCCATCAGGACATTCACATTCCAGTCCCTTCCTACCTCTTAGACCTCATCTCCTGGCATCGCGCCCTGGGCATTCTGTGCCCAGCTTTGTCTTCCCAGCATACTCTGTGTACTGACGTGCCTCCTTGCCTGGGATGTGCCATCCTTCCTGGGACATGCATCCCTCCTGGGCCCACTCCCACCTGTCCATCAGTTCTCTCTTTAATGTCACTCCATCAGTGAAACCTTTCTTGATTCTCCTCAGCTTGGTGATGCACCCCTTCTTCAGGAGAATCATAATTGATTGGTAAAGAATAGTTATCTCTCTAAAAAATATATTTTTCTCCCCTAGACTATAAGCTAAATGAGGCCCTAGAACATGTGTTT